CTCCTTGTGCAGTGGCGGCGGTGGCGCAACCATCCCGGTGGCCGGGGCAAAACCGTCGTGGCGCGCTACCACTTCCCGCTGCTCTTCGAGCCGGGCACGTCGTGGATGTACGGCTGCGGAAACGACTGGGCGGGACTGCTCGTCGCACGCGCGACCGGGAGCCGTTCGCTCGAGGACTACTTGCGCGCGAACGTCTGGGAGCCGCTCGGGCTCACCAACTTCACGTTCTCCCTGTCTGCGCGCCCCGACCTCGCGGTGCGGCGCGTGCCGGTCTCCGACCGCGATGCGGACACGGGCAAGGTCTTCGCGCCGAGCAAGCTATGGCGCGACGCGTACGAGGCCGCAGACGAGCCTCTGGGCGGGCAGGGGCTCTATGGGTGTGCGCGGGAGTACGCGGCGCTGCTCGAATCGTTGTTGCGCGACGACGGGCGGTTGCTGAGCTCAGCGGGCGTAGAGAGACTGTTCGCGCGCTGCCTATCTGCGGGGTCGAAAGAAGGGCTAGTGGAAGCTCTCAGGGAGGAGCCTGCGCGTCTGGCTTTAGGTGGTGCCCCGAGAGGGACCAGGCTCGACTATGCGTGCGGTGGGCTGGTGTTTGCGGAGGGCATAGACGGGTGGCGAAGTGAGGGGACAGTGACGTGGGGCGGGTACCCGAACTTGACATGGTGGATCGACCGAAAGGCAGGGGTGACGGGGTGCTGGTTTGGGCAGCTCGTACCTACTGGGGATGCTAAGATTGTGGCTATGACTAGGCGGTTTGAGGAGATGGTGTATGCAAAATCGAAGGTGCAGGGAAAGCTGTGATACTAGTCTTTCAGTCTGTTAACTTTGGTATTATTCCGGATCGTTGTAAATGGAGTACTACAATTTTTTGAGTTTGCCGTAGACGACGATCTTCAAGAAAACTGTGCCAGCAAGTCGATCTTGAACGGTCTTACCAAACTTGGAATTTGCGGGGGAAGCAGTGCCAGACCTAGCGTGAGAACAGTGGCAGTTAGGCTGAGGCTTCAGCAATCCCTTGAAAGACTCAGGCCCCCAGGTTGGCACACCTGTTTGGGCATTCTTTGGAATTTCGGCTCTTGTCTTCCTTTGATTCACTGGTCTTGAGCATGCCTAGCGAAGAGGTTCTAAACCCGGAAATCATCAAGCAGGAAGAGGAATATCTCCGCAAAGTACACCCTACGCCCGAAGACATTCCAGGATGCATGAAACTATTTGACGACTTCCTGCTCTGTAACGGCGAGTATTCCGCCTTTCGTTCCACGTTTCTAGCATCCTCATTTTAGGACCTTTCCCAGTGATCAGCTCTCAAGCGCGGTCGCTGTACCGGTATGGCGAGATGGCGACCTGCGCGCCGAAACTCGAGGAGTTTAAATTCTGCATGAGTCTCAAGGGCATGCATCCCGAGGAGAAGCGGGACGTCTGGATCCGCCGGCGTGCGGAGTGGTGGGCCCGTCGCAGAGCGGACAAGAGCAGCGAGGATGTGTGGGATGTTAGGACGTGAGTGCCGTGTGGTCCAAACCTTGTGTGTTATCGGAGGATATGGGCGGTGGCTGAGAGACGTGTCGATCTGCCCAGGGAGCCGCTGGAGAACTTCCCACCAAGGAGGCTGGACCCGAACGTGCAGACTCCCAGAACTATCGAGTGAAAGAACTTCCGATTCCTCACTCCTCTGCTAGACCGCTCGTAGTGCGCAAATTCTGTCCAGGTCATGGGCGCGCTGGCGGACTACGCTTCTGACGCGCATCTTCCCTACGTAACGGCAATGCGCAGGCTCATCTGCTGCTTTATCATACTGAGCGACCACTACAACACGCTACGGCCGAGCGGGTCCTGTTGCATCTATGAGGACAGTATACAACATACATTACGCATAGCGTGAATATACAACTACAGGACAACCTACATAGCAAAGAAAGCAGACCGATATCCAGGAACAAACAAGTACAGTAACCAGAAACCGAGACTATACACCAACCCTACGTGCATGTGCGGGTCAGACCAGGATCAATGTGTCCATTGACAGGGAGTACTCACCGATGAACAACCTTCTTCTGCCCAGAGAACCTAATGATTTCTCGCTTTTCGAGGACGAACAGCGTGCGCTCGAGCGCGTGACTTGAGTAGCCCTGTTGAGTGACGAACTCGCGGACGAGGCTCTGGTAAGACGTGCTCCAGCCGATGGGTAGGCGACGGCGAATTTCCTTTTCGATCTTGGTCATTTCTTCGTTGAGCGCGCCACGCGAGAGCCCGTCTGCTGAGCCAGCAGAGACGGCGTCCATTGTCGAGAACTTGAACAGTCGAATCGCCTCTTCAACGTGGTGGTTCTGCACCACAGGCGAGAGCGTGAGCTTAGCGAGTGACTCCGAGATACGGATAATAGCCTCGAGTTGACTGTAACGTCGGAAAGTCAGAGAAAGGATGCTTTGAAGTAACACGGGAAATGTACCGAATCGTGATGGGGATGGAGCTTCGCTCGTCGTTGTCCTGTTCGACTTGTTGCACCTGCTTGCGCAAGGAGACGAAGTGACTACTGAGCATTTCCTGAGCCTCTGCAGACAGGCGTGGCGCGCATTTCCTATTGTTCCATCAAGCCTAGCTCATGAGTATATGCGGGCCGAACAGAACGCACGATTTACAGTAAGCGATGAACCGCTTCATCTTGTCAAGGTCGATATCACCAACGGCTTCGCCGTTCTCATCAGTGCCCTGATTGGGCCGGTTCATGTGAATGTTCATGACGTGCTTTGCGATCATCTGTGGAACTACCATTTAGCTTTGCGCGTAGTGCAAGGAGGCAGGTCAGAGAAGCATACTCGATCTCGTTGCTCATTGTGCTCGTCCTTGACAATGAAAATCATATCGAAACGCGACAAGATTGTAGTCTGGAAGTCAATGTTCTGGGTAACATTCATCAGCTTACATCGCCCGTCAGTCCGTGAGGACCTGCACGAACCTCTCCAGGACTTCGTCCTTCATCATACCGACCCCACACAGGGTTGGCCGCCGCCAAAACGCTTGTACGAGAGTTCAGCACGGTCGTGATGCCCGCCTTTGCAATAGAGATAGTCTGTTGCTCCATAGCTTCATGGATCGCGACACGGTCCTCGTCGCGCATCTTGTCAAACTCGTCGATGCATACAACACCCGTGTCCGCAAGCACCATGGCGCCACCTTCGAGGTAGAACTCGCGCTGAAAGTCATAACGGTTTGTCAATAATACGCGAACTAATAGGCGGTTTGCTGATACTTACGGATACAGAGTCACGCTGGACCGAGGCAGTCAGACCCGCCGCACTAGAACCTTTCCCAGAAGTATACACTGCAATAGGTGCAACCTGGGACAGAGGTGAGAATGATCCGTGAGGCCCTGATGCATTTTACACGAACCTTCTCAACGAATTTCAGTAGCTGACTCTTTGCGGTACCAGGGTCGCCGAGAAGTAGAACGTTGATATCGCCTCGTAGCCGCATACCATCCGGTAATATCTTCTTCGAGCCGCCTACCAGAAGACATGTAATGGCTTTCTTGATATCTATGGGACACTTAACAGGGACATTCCAATAAATGCTGGGTGACGATAAACGTACCCAAGCTACCGAAAATACTAGGTGCAACACTCTTCGCAAACCGTTCGTAGAAGCCCTCGCTGCGGGCCATCTCACCGAATTCTTCCTCTTCTTCGGGTGTGAACTGTGCTCCAAAGGGGTTTGCACCACCTGCGCCGCCTGCTGCCGGCGACGAGACTTCCAGATGGACCAGACGAAGGTATGGGTCTCGAAGAGCGGCTGCGCCCTTCGATCGCTAAAGAAGCATTAGGACCTAGGCCTCCGTAGAAGTAGTACTGTCTGAAGCTTACGTTCTTGGCGGACTGAAACGTTGAGTATATACCTGTCGCAATGACCCGCGAACCGGGAACTACTTGGCCAGTAAGGTACCTGTCAGCAGACAGGAGCATGTGCCGGGGCAACTCTCCGACGGGTACCATATCAGGCGCCTCTTGGAGTTTCAGGGTTTGATGGTCAGTGAATGATGATTTCGAGTGGATTATGAGGTACGGGTCGAGTGGGCAATCTTTCTTCTGGTTTTCAAGCTCAGGAGCGTCGCAAACCCTCGGAAGTCCTCTGTCTGAGCCACCCCCCAGGCCACCAAGCCCCCCAGCAGGGGTCACAATTTTTGTCGACCGACATGCACGGCACTGGAGGTGGAGTTTTGTTGCATGAGACGAGAGGACTGAGGCAGAAATGACGATTCCGGGTATGCGAACAAGCTTGTTCATGGTATCCGCAGTGAGATCACGGAACTGCTGAAGGTTGAGTCCGGACTTGATGAGTACTTGGACATTAGGTATCGACTGCTGTGCTGCCTCAGAGTTGCTCGTGAGGGGGAAGAGGATGCTGCGCGCGGCCTTGGTGGCTGCAGACTCAAACTAGGTAGTGCGCATTAATAAAAAAGACAGCTATCGTGCGCATAGACGCGTCGACATACCAGCGGCAGAACTTCGGCTGGTCTCTCTTGAATGGCATGCGCGAGCTCATCATTGTAGAGGCCTACATGCCGAAGATCGACCTCTACCTGGTGTTGCTTGAGTAGAAGATTGGCTCGTAGTTTGTCTCTGTTACGCACTATTAATGCAACTCTCTTCGAGGCACGTGAAGTGATACTCACCTGTAAATGAAGTCGCCGCCGACGCGATACTGGAGGAGGAAGTCGAGCAGAAGCTTTTCGGTCTGAGACGGGAGCTCCGGCGCGGTGGGCTCCGGGACGTCGTGAACGGAGACAGAGTATACACGGTCGGCGTCGAAACCGGACATTTCAGCGACGAAGGAGAGTGTGTGGGCGAGAGTACGGGACAGAGGATGAGACAGGCGCGTGTTCACCCGCCTTGCACTGAGGCTTGAGCAAACCTCGAGACGCGTCGCACAAATGACCATTTAGGGCAGGCTTAATCGCGTTTTTACTCCCACACCATCTATTTACTTAGTGCTCACGTAGATACAAGTCCCGTTTAGCTCAGTTGGTAGAGCGCGTCACTAGTAGTTCGACTCCGATGTGGGTGATCTATTCATGACGAGGTCAGTCGTTCGAGTCGGCTAATGGGAATGGATTGCCACCCAAGGGGGATTCTTTTAGCATTTTACGAATTTGAGCGCTTGCGTTAATTATGTAGGCACCCAAGGACGCGAGTGGCCGGGACCATGTCGTGTACATTTCACTCGAAGCTTGACACTCGACATTATCCCCACTGCTAGCGACTTGCACGATGGCCTCCATGGACACTGACGAACTCCCTGTCGTTCTTCCCCCGTCGACCAATACCTCCGGGTTGTCTATTGCACTGTCGGTCCCCACGTCTCTAGGCTAAATCCTGCCGCCACTGATGCGTACGGTGCAGCCACCCGCTCCCAATTCTTAACATCTCCGAGCATCTCACTCGATTGCGACTCCAGACAAGAACCAGGGTGCCTTTTGGTGGGGTTTATGCGCTCCAGCGACGTCCTCGGCTCGCTGATCGATGGGAATACAGTGCTTGGAGCACTGCTCGGGACTCAGACCGGCCGAGACGTCGAAATCGTGAATACGTTTGAACTCGCATTGGAAGACGACGGTGCGACTGTGGATCAGGGTTTCCTGGTTGCCCGCAAGGAACAATGTGTGTATACGGTACGAAGGTGCTACCTTCGTACGACTGATGGCCGTGCTATCTTCCAGACAAGCAAGTGTTTCCGTCCCTGGAGTTTATCGGGTGGTATACCGTTGCAGAGCGACCATCTGCCCGCCACATCGCTCTTCATGAGCAGGTATGTATCCCCTCTCGTCATGTGTTCTCTGGATGTTTATGTGTCTGGTAGTTTACCCTATACAGCTCCACGCCACTTCTTCTCGTTCTTCAACCGTCCACTGTCTTCGCGGCCTCTACGGATGCGTCAGGACAGTCATTGCCGTTAAAGGCGTACGAGCCAACCATCGAAATCCGCGATCGCAAATCGCGCTCCGTGTTTATTGAGGCCCCATTCAATGTCGAGACCGGCGAAGCGGAGCGTATTGCCGTAGACTGGACCGCAAAAGGAGGATCGGGGGGCACAAGTCGTACGTCCCATCCGCTAAAATGTCATTCCTACAATCGATCTTAACCATCACCATAGTGGAATCACATCTACAAACGCAACGCGCGGCTGTGAAGATGTTGCATGACCGGATATTGCTCCTGGTCAAGTATGTATCGGATGTAATTGCTGGTAAGCTCTCCAACATTGTTTCACGCAGCGTAGTCTCTCAGACTGAACGGTTCCTAGGTTCCGCCAAGAAAGACCACGCAACTCTTCGTGCACTCTCTGCCCTCATCGCTTCTCTCCCCGCGAGTGAGAACAAAGAGTTCCGGGAGGAATTTGACACCGTAAGCGCTTTCTGGCGTGTTCATACCACCAACACTTACTTACCCTTTGTTAATAGGAATACGAAGATGTACAATTAACTGCATACCTTGCGACACTGACCAAATCCGCCAATCTCTTGAACGATGTGGGTTGGCCTCATTTCACCGTAACAGTCTCGCCTAACATATATTACTAGCTCGTGGACAAGCACGTTGTCTTGACCACATCGCGAGATGATCGCCCCGGTATGGGTGCAAGGCGAAGAGGATTGATGGGCCGACCAACCGACTTCGACCGTTACCACTGAACGTGTCGCACGAAAACCTATCGTCGCTCCCCAGTGCTGCATCCTGCATGCTCTGTATCCGCTCCGCATAGTCAATGCCTCGGCCCCATATCTGTCCTTGCAACTTTCCCCCCTGTAACATGTTCTGTGTACTAGCAATCGCTATCGCTCATATTTGAATGTACTTGATGCTCCTGCTTCTCTCTCACATCTTTTGTGTCTATTCCTTTCATGTAAGAGGGGGATACCCAGTCATACGAGCTGACTTCCTCAGCCCGCCGGCTTCGCAAGGTGTAAGGGTTCCCGCCCAAGGAGCCGGGGGGGGGGGGCCGTACACGTGAGCGTGATTTCGATCGCGCGGTGGGAACGCGTCTTGTGGTGTGCACAGTGCGCGGTGGTGCCAGTGGTTCACACGGACCTCGTCCCGGTGTTTGGGTCGCTCCTTACCCGTTCCCGTTCCCAAGCGCACGCTGTAATAGGACTCATCTGGCTTGCGTGGTCACTTCTGCGTCCTTAAAAACCTCTACAACACTGGTGAGGTAGCAGCGACTCTGTCTTCCTCAGCATAGCGTATACACCGCGACCGCTCTCGGGCCTAACGCAGATATGACGACGCTTTCTTGGTCTTCGTTTACCGCTCTCTTCAACGCGCAGGGGCTCTATCAAGTCGTGTACGCCGCGCTATTTGGCTCGAGTAAGTGGGGGTTCGTTCTCTGTTTATTTCCATACGGCCTGAAGGGTCCCTTGCAGCCCTCTGGGTCACCTTTATCGGAGGTACGCCCCGTCCTTAACAAGCTCCCTAGGCACGTCGTGAACCCAGCCTTGCTAGGCACCATCGCTTTCAAAACACTCCCCCGCCAGCAATTTGGAACGCTTCAGCACCGCACGTTCCCGATTTACTTCATCATCAGCATCGCGCTCTCCTCTGGCTTGCTTGCGCTCTGGACGTACTCGCACCCTGCCGTGCGCACGCGCTACCTTGAATACACGGATGGGGACGTTGCACAGGCGTACGTGCTTGTGACGGTCTTGCTCAACCAGGCTGCGAACCACTCCGTGATTGGACCACTGACCAGCAAGTAAGTGTTGCTGAGGGTACTTAAGGAGGTAAAGGACTGGCACTAAGTACCCGACTGTAGGACAATGTTCAAGCGCCATAAGTTAGAGAAGGCTGAGGGAAAGGCGTACAATGAGCCTGGAGTATGTTTTGGTCCGATAGCAGTTACGATTCGCCGTAAGCTGATTCCTTCGTTAGGTGTCTGCGGATATGAAGGCTTTGAACAAGGCCTTCGCCCAGTTGCACGGTATCAGCTCTCTCGCGAACCTCACGGCTTTCCTCGCGTTGCTATTCCACGGACTTTGGATCGGAACCAATGGCACGGGCATCAAGAGCATCTTCTAAGTTGTATCGTTTCTTGTATACCTACTGGATATAACGCACGTCTGTCTTTCTTGTTCTTGAAGACGGCGGGATGGGATGGAACGGATGGCTCTTGGGCACAGCACGTTCATGGGCAGGGTAGAACACAAAATGAATCGATACCATGATACATTCATCGTACAGGGGGTCAACATCATATCGTCATGCACCGACAGAATCCATGCCCGGGAGGAAGCCTTCTCTGAGCTGCCGCTCCAGCCTGCGGATCTCCTCGACGGACGTTGCGCGTGCGATCGCCTCGCGGACCTTGTCCGCCTCCTCCTTCGACATGAGTCTGCCCGCCTTGCCGTGTTGCACTGCGGGCTTGGGTTCGTCGGATGTCACGGGCGGTTTTGACGAGTGTGTAGAGACAGTCTGCGAGAGTGTCGTCGCAAGCTGTGTGGGTAAATTGTCTGCAGTGAGGAAGAGCGAGCGAGCGGCTTGTCGCTCCTGAGGGTCGAGTTGGGTCATTGGTGGGACAACTTGGTTGATATGCGTACAAAAGGCGGGAACTCACTTTTTCACGAATCCTCTGGAAGTCAAGTACTCTCAGGTTAGGAATGCGCCAAGCGAGCCATTCACGATACCACTTCTTCTCGCGCACAGGGTTCCCTAATAGGGAGAGATACTGCAGAGACTTGACATCCTTCAGTGGTTCGAGATCGCCAAGTTCGGCGATGTTGTTGTTTGTGAGAACAAGGGTGGTGAGGTTGGGGACAGAGAGGTGGAGGGACCCCGAGATAGAGGATATTCGATTGTTCGCGAGGAGGAGTGTGCGGAGACGACGAAGAAGTGGGATGTTCCCGAGTACTGTGATCGAGTTGTCGGTAAAGTCTATGGCATCATTTTGGTCCTATTCCGTCTCTTAGTCCAATGCGAACTCTTGTGAAGGCCAGAAAGGCGTACCTTAGTGATACCAAGGTTTTCGATGGCGGGGATGGTGTATCCTGCAGAATGGAATGTTTTTAGTCTAGAGCCCCTCGCCCGAGGCCGCGCATCGAAGCAAACATACCTCTGAGGTCAAGCTGCCGCTCCTTGATGGGGTTGAGTTGCGAAGGCACAGACTCGATGAGCTCGGGCGTGAGCTTGACCATGGTCAGTCGTGGTCGGGCGCGAACCAGGCGAACCAATCCTGGCGACTTGTCCGCCTGGGCGCGTGTGGCGCGAAATCACGGCGCGGCGCGCTGCAGCCCTGCCTGCGCCCTCGCGCGTTGGCCGTACGCAGCCGTGCATCATCTTTCCCTTCCTCTTCCTTCTCGCCACCACCCACCACCATGAAATCCTTGCATCAGAGGTTGACCCTGTATGTCTCTAGCTATACTCCCCGCTGTTCTGGCTTATGTATTTGGCTATAGGTACAGCGATGGGAACGAGACTTACACGTTCGTCCCCGCCGAGCCGGTGGGAGCTCGCTCTTTAACCATTTACCGGAATTCTGGCGATATTGTACTCAATGGTACGTACTATATACTATGTGTACACTTCGACCAATGTTCAACCCCTCGTAGCTCCTAATACACCATTACCCGTAACCTCTGAACGCTCCCCGAAGACGATATACGGCATATACGGAATGATATCCCTGGCTATGTGTACGCCACGTCCGCCTTACCTCATGTCGTTATGCTCACTTCATGGATAGCGGAATACATTATCGTCATCACCGGGCGAGAGCTGCGTGGCCATATCATGAGGCAGAACATTTATCGGGCAACCGAGTACGACATTCTTCCCCTCAATCCGGACGTGTCCGTGCAGAATCCACCGAATACTGTTGAGGCGCACCTGCTCGCACTCGTCCGGTCACATTTGCAAGGAGGCAACTTCTTTTTCAGCTACGGTTGGGACATTACGCGGAGACTGCAGGCGCAGTGGCAGACTATCCAACAGGACGGGGAGAAGGCGCTCTGGGAGATTGTGAGTGCCTTGGATATTCGCCACGTATGCGGTCATTGACTCTCGACAAAGGCAGACGACCGATTCTTCTGGAACAAGTACGCGGAGCTGCCGTTGGTTCGGC